CCCTAGTTGCGCGTCGCGTCGAGCGAGTGGCTCGATTCAAGGCCGACACTGTCGCTCGACCACCGTTTCTGCGTCGGTGGCTTCCTCCGCGCGCAACTTTCCGACCCCCTCCACCGCGCCGCTACCCTCGCCGCTCTCTTCTCGTTCCAGTTTTCTCTTTTTATATCTTCGTTATAGATTCCCTTGAATTGTCCGTGGTCGGCCTCGCCCGAGTCGCCCATCCCCATTAGGATCCAGGTAAAAATAGTGCTCTTCGACCGAGAAGCTTTTGCGGGTTCCTAGGGGATGGACTTGTTGCGAGGGAGTACCGTGGTCTTGGGAATACAGGATAGGTTCGAGAAAGGATGGTCTGTGCTTCTTGAGGGAGAACGGGGAGAGGTTGAGGTAGGGACGATTAACGAGGTACCACTGTAGTTTCGATGGAGTGTAATTGGGAGCAGCGGCGAATCCGAAAGTAGTGTTCCATTCAGGATACGATCGTTGAATCGAGTGGTTCCATTCAGTTCGGTACAAGCGACAACTAACGAGGTGATACTGTAGATGCAGGTACAGGGATGATTTTGTCGGAGTAGATCATTCGAAATGTAATGCGTCGTTGGGTCGAATATTCTCGGCGAGTTATGTATGGAATAATCGGTAAGTAACGAGGCAGTGCCGTGATCTCTAAAGAAGCAGAGGATGAAGGACGAAGTCCCTGTCGAAGTCTCTTTAACACTTCTGCCAAGTGAACACTTGTGTGTAGTCGGAAGTATCTTCTACCCCTTGCCCTATGATCTATTTTAGAATGATCGATGCAACTACTCTGTCACTTAATTTATTGGAAAAAGGAATTTTTGGCACATTCTGTGTTCGCTCTGAAGTACAACTGATAGAAAGAATTGAGTAATGCTTATGCTTGTTGAACTCTGCTTGAAATCTTCGACAGGATATTGCAGGGCAAAGGGTGAAAGAAACTAGAAGGTCAAGATCCTTCGTGAGAATTACTTTGTCTCTCGTGTCTCATAGATTCAGTAGAGCTTAGCTCTACGTCACCGAGAAAATGTTTAACCTTTTGTACTCGAGAGGTGACTCTCAACCATTTAATTTGACGCAGCAAAAGTAGAAAATTTAATATTTAATATTGAACTACGTACAATGCATCTATGCGCGATGGGATAAAAGCTTTGTTTCTCAATGTACCTGTGATGTTCCTTTGAATTCATTTAAAAACCATCGTCTTTGCCTAGTTAGAAAATGTTATCGCCAACGAAATACTTCCGAGTGCAAAGGGTTAAGTTTCTGTTGAAAATGGTGGGAATTCAGGTGACACGGCGGTCGAAGTCGGAGAATAAATGAAAACGAACCGATCGACCACGGTAGGCCTCGAAAGAAGCACGTGATCGGCGGTCTTCCGGCGGATCGGGGGTTAGGTCGCCGTGCAATCTCCGGTAATGATTGGTCTCCATGGCGACTGGGCAAGCGGGCCGCCTCGCCCTTTTTCCTCGCGGGCAGCGCTGCCCCCTAGGCTGCAGCCACGCCGACGACGCCCGCAGGATGAAACATTAAAGTTGCGTTTGCGCCGATGCGGCCTGCCTTGAACTACTTTAAGGAAGGATACGCGGCGGGCCTCCGCAACACGTCGTCCGCGGCTTGACCTTTCGCCCTGACGCTACCCCAGCTCGCTTCCCCTATCATTTTCGTCACCCTCTTCCCTTCTTTTTTCGGCTTTTTCTTCCTGGCCGGCTGACGGATCGCGTTCGCCGCTTGCACGCGAAGAGTCTGGACGTTGAATATTCGACGATAAGCCGGGAATAGACGATAGTTCTCTGTTTTCAGCGGATCCGTTCGTTTTTTCTGTAACCTCATTGTTTCTTTTATTATTCGCTTCAGTGCGTCGATCCTTCGATCGAGCCTGCGGAGAACAATGGAGCGATCCTGTGATCGTTAATGGTTCCTGTGTGCTGAGATAATGGCGATGGGAGCGCGACTCGATTCTTCTCTTTCTGTGCCTACTTGTTTTTATATTTTCCGTTAGTTCGGGAACCATTGATTCGGAGAACTGCTCCAAGGATTAACGAATAATCACGGAATGATTGATAATGCGATTAATCCTTCGATCTAATATGTCCATGCATCTTATTAACCCTTTACGAACGAATACCGATATTTTGGCTAGATAAAAATTTCATATTTGCAATACTAAGTTGCAAATGAATGATTCAATTACTCGAATAGCAAGAGATCAGTACATAGTTTCCTTCTTTCCTACTGTTCAAGCATTCGATGCATAATGTAACTTCATATGTTGAAATACTTATGATTGATAAATAGACAACCAAGGATCGATAACTCGACATTCTTTCCCACATCACTCAACTTAATCATTGAACCACTAAATCATGTCTCGATCATTGCCTCTTTCCTATCCAAGCAAAAGAAAGAAGATAAAGACGAATTTTCAACAGTCCCTTCACCTGCGAAGAATCTCCTTCCCGCGGGAATCGCGCGATAGTTCCCGCGTCCAATCGTCATCGAGCTTCCTGGCTCCCGCGGTAATTGGTGGAATTTATTGCACCCTGATTCCTTCTACGAGCGCGATGAAAACAATAACGGTCTCGTTAAGAGGTCTCATTCGACGGCGCCGCGGCCGGAGAGCAATTGCCGCGCTCCGCGTTTTCCGTGTAATTTATCTGCGCCGCTCGGACCTCGACTCGCGTTTCTGCTCCGCGGTGTTGCTACGCTAATCGAGGGACGCGTTGAATCGTCCGCGGTTAATTCTTCATTATTATTTACGCGAGCCGTGCGCGCGAGGCGCAATCGCGCCGCGGATCTTTACGCGGCCGTTGATTCTTTCGGGGCTCTGTTAATTAGCCGCGATCGTTGCTGGGCAGAGCAGGCATTCTAATTAACACTAGAACCGCCTGGCAATAAGACAGAGCTATTTATAATCCGTTACACAAATTAGGGAAGCAGATTTCCCGAGGTTCGCGGAGCGATTTCCTCGCATGCAATTTACTTCTAAGTTTCTTAGCAGCATTCTTATCGTCTTAACCCTTTGAACTCTGTATTGCACCAGTCAATGTCACCAGTTAATTCAATATTGCACCACTTATAATATTGAATATTTTAATGAACCAAAGAAACCACCCTAAAATTATTCGATCTTCCAGGCATCCAATTTTATACTGAGAAGGAAAATAAAAGAAAGAAATGTTATAGGATTTCTCATTTTCACTATAGGTACTATAAAAATTAGTTGCAGTTGCTGATAGATTGCGATACCATCTGGAGTGTTAAGGATTAATAAGAAATAAGAATATTGAAAACGGTTTGAACAATTCGGTAGTTCCAGTGTGAAAGTTCAGTGAATAGTTTAGTTTAGATTGACGCGTGGAGGTACATGTAATTTGGAGTTCAGTAACGAGAGAATGATTTCGTAGAACTCCCCTAACCGATTCATTAGACTAACGTCACAAAGTTTGATATTTATAACTGAGTCGCTCCAATGCGGTCAAATTCAAAAGAAAAATTGAGGAAATCAATGTTTCGGCTTCTGGAGTAATTATACAACAAACTCAAAAGCTATAAGACCTGGAAACGAGAGTAAATCCTTCAATAACAAGAATATTATTTTAACCCTTTGCACTTGATAGGCGCCTTCCATTTGATTTGACCCAGGAACATTAAACTTAAAAATCCAATATTAAATTTTCTATAATGTACGAACACATGGAACATCGAGATAAAATAGTTCTGTCACTTAATTTACGCAAAGTATTTCCTTATATTAATTACAAAAATATCATTGACACTTCATCAGAAAATAATGAATATCGAGAAAGATATTCTCGAGTGCAAAGGGTTAAAACTCAGAGATTATCCAGAAATCGACTGAACCGCATTAGCTTCGAAGCAACTCGATTCTTTCCCATCTTCGACGTTCACCGTCGCTCTCGAGCCACTCGGAGGATGCAGCGGCGAAACACGAGAAGCCCCGTCCTCGCGTAAACACGATCGTTTATCAGGGATCGCGCACCGAGACGGGAGATCGTGTGCACACGTTAACCAGCATATTTCGAAATTTCCAATAGTTCGGGATCCGCGCGAGCGTACGTGTCCCGTGACCCACTTGAACGGGGACCTAAAACTTGCTCGTCGGGCGCGGGGTGCTGCACAGCCAATCCGCTCGCGACGATGCAATCGCATGATCGACGCCCCGTTGACGAACTTTCGATGCCGTTACCGCGGGTTTCCCCGGCGCGCAGGTGGATGTACAACCGGCGCCGGGGGTAATCGAGAAAGTTTGCCCCTCGACTAACCCCTCGAGTCGCGGCACCGTTTAAGAGACCAAATATATAGAGTATAGATCGGCAAGTTTCGAGCGGAGCCACGAAGCTGCAGCCCCGGTTCAATTAACGGCCCCCGCCGGACACCGTTTATCCGCGCCGAACGTTTTCGGACGCCGTTGTCTCGATATTCCGCTCGGCGAGCGAACTTTCCGGCTGCCGCCGATCGAGGCGATCGCGAAACCGGTCCACGCCTCGCTGTGAGCGCGGCTGCGGGGCTTCTCGGCGACGCCGAACGGAGGCAATACGCTTCGCACGCGCGGCTCCTTTGAGCGCTCGGTGTAAAGCTGGATTTAGATTAACGGATATTATGTAAACGTCGATTTTGATTAATGTTACACGAACAGGCGTTCGAATTGTGCTCGAATGCGGGGAATGATTAGGTTCTGGAAACAATGATACTGCGTGTTTGAAGGGTTGTCAACTTAGCGTTGCAAATTCGCAGAAGAACCAAACAGAATAATTAACGTATTAATTATGTCGCCATGTTTATGGCGACGTTGCTTCGTTGAGGGTTAAATGTCCCTCATAGGTTATAACCGAGTGCATGTTGCTGAAATTTAGAATGAAATTAATATTGTATCGAGAATCTATTTTATATAGTTTTACTATAGAGTATTTTATATAGTTTTATTATATAGTTTTACTATAGAGTTTGTTCTTTGATTGTTCCAGGGGTGCCTTCTCAGTAGTGCGACGATGCGTTCAGAAGAGCACCGGCCACGAGTTCGCGGCGAAAATCATAAATACCAAAAAGCTCACGGCCAGAGGTGAGTCCGGTTTCCTCTTCAAACCTACCCTGTTCTCATGTGAAAACCATCCTCTAAACGATTCGTGAAGAGAAATCATCGAATCGGTAGATGCTCGGAAAGATACCCGACCGACGAGCACGTTACCGTGGAAAATGTCCGACCGGAATCAGGCAAACGACTTTACGCAAGCTCCGTCGCGATTGCATCGTTAGCACGCGAGAGCCGCGACGCGGAATTCGAGACGCGCTTCCATCGACTGTTCCGCTGCATATTTCATTAACGCGCAATCGAGTCACGTGTCGGGCTCGAGCGTTGTAATTTCTTTTCGACTCTGAAATCCGTCCGTCAACGAACCCCGCGACGAATATGTCCGCTCTGTAGCTCTTTCGCGCGGGAGACGCGGCCCGATCTTTCGTTTGACGCTGGGCTGCCTTAATAGGGCTTAATCGACTAATTAACCCTTGAATCCCTTCTTCGAGAACTCGCGGTAACCCAATTCCCCGGCGTATTCCCCGGTAAAGGGAATTAATTACACGGTTTCTCAACGCGTCCCGCGTTTCCGGCGAATCTCGGTCGATTCGAGTCGGAACGATCGCGACGAAATCGAAGTTTACATCATCGCGCAGCGATTCGTCGTCCGGGATCGAGTTTCCATCGGCGGAATCTCCGAACGAACGAACAGCGTCGACGAAACGTGAATGAGAGTGCCCGTTTCAATGATCTTCTCGCGTTCGTCGCGCGTGATTGCGAGGCGCGTGTTGTTTCAAGGAAGTATTCAAGAGGGGATACAGCCGTGAGACTTTCAGGGTCTCGATAAACCGACGGACGCGAGCATTTCCTAATTATTTCGGTCCCGAGGCATTGTTCCTGCGTTTCCCGCGATTGGACGCGGAATCGGGGAAAGAGCCGGGCCTCTACACCAAAGACTTAGCGTCTAAAAACAACGAGCGACGCCGTTGTCAGCTTGCCAACATTCCGACGCGACCAAGCAGCTGCCAGTGCGCCGTGGCCAGAGGTGGACCAGCCGCATTGCGAGTGGACGCGCCGGACGCTGGACAATTTTTCGACTGCTCGAATATGGAGGAAACACGAGGAATATGGGTCTTCTCCTTTGAACCCTACAATCGAATCTTGCAACGCGTGTTACTAAGACGGTGTACTGAAACCATCAACACTGAATCGAACTATGTTAAATAATCTAAAAATTTACTACGACCGAATCTTGCAACGCGTGTTCCTAAGACAGTGTATTGAAACCATGAACACTAAATGGAACTACGTTAAATCAATCTAAAATAATCACGTTTATATAATATACGACTAACGGAAGATGTATTTGTTGAATCCTTTGCGGACGAATGTCGACATTTCGGCGAGACGAAATCTTCATATTTGGAAGACTAAATCGCAAACAAGTGATTTAATTACTCGAACAGCGAGAGATCAGCAATTAATGTATAATTTAGCTTCATCTATTGAAGGTTTTGTACGTTTCAAAGAATCTCCGACCGCAAATTAGAATTCACTTAGGTTTGATGGAAGCGAACTTCGTTGGAATTATTGTGAATAACATTTTATGTCTATGAGCGCTAACAGTACACTGCATTTTTTAAGCGTCAATAGTAGCCAAGGGGTGAATTTATCTTGATTGTTAATAGTATCGTGGGAGGAAATGATAAGAAAAAAGAAGAAAGGGAAGAAGATGAAAATGGAAGAGAGGAAGAAGCTGGATGAGCTGCTTCGTGGGTTTTTTCGAATGATTTCCCTGGATCACGTAGAGTATTCGAGTTTTCGAATAATAACGAGAGCGATTGGATCGACTGGCTCTTCATTCCACGTCGGTTCTACTCATTAACGAACGAGACGGTCGATTCTAATTACGAATCTCGCAGTGTGTACATTACGAGGTTAAAATGATACGAAAATGATGAATGACACCGGACGCGTTACAATTACCTGGGACGCAACGTTTGCCCGCTTGATAGAGCAAACATCCCATTCATATCAAATTGATCAATATTCATGAGCCTGTATAAGCATAATATTCATGAAATCTCGTGTACATATTAATTGATCACTATATTAGTAGTATCGATGAGTGACGCGCCTCTTCCAGCGGATCTTTCGGCTCCAGCTTCGATAGGAAATTCGATTTGCACGAGAGTGTTTGTGAAATCAATTCGATGTACGTTTCAATTCACGCGTTCCTTAATTATAGTGTTAAAAACTAATTATAGTGTCAATTCTAACGTTAAAAAGTAATTCTAGTGTCAATTCTAGTGTTGAAAGCATTAAACGAGAACTTCGAGATCAAATTGAAACATTAGAGGGATTCAAAGGTGCAGCGATGAACTTGAAAGATAAATAATAATTAACCCGTTGCTAAATTACGAATTTCCATATTTACTATATCTCCCATAGTGCATCGATAGAAGTTAATTCGAAAATATATATTTCATCAGAAAACGTATCGAGCATTTCTAGCTGATAAGTTTCGAAGTGCAACGGGTCAAACGTGAAACTTTTAATTCGTCCCGATCGATGTTGGACCAGTTCCGCCGATTTCGCTCGATAAATTTAGTATCTGGCCGGCGGTGGTCCATCAGTCGAGCCGCTGCTGTATTTATTGAAAGTTTTATTGTCGTTATCAATCGATTCGTTGGCGTGGTTCCTAATGCGTTCCGCCTGTGACTCACCGCGCGTCTCGCAGATGTTACGGGGATCGCTAAATATACAAAAAGCCGTCTGATTCAGCCGGAATATTAAGATACAGGCCTGGACCGGGGACGCGCGTTGACGGAAGCTTCCCGACGATAGATGAAACCGCGTCACGTGCTGCTACCGTTTCCAATCCTCTCTGACGCACAGGACGCGATGAAAGTCGAGAGAAAAATCCAGTCCACGTTTCTTACAGCGCAGATTATAATTATCATTCGATTATAATTAGCATTTGCGTCGACTCATCGCTTCTAGCATATTTAGTTAGCTAGCAATTAACCGCAGTATGATGGCTTGATTTCGAATTCTTAAGAATTACTCGAAAGTACGCAGAATCTTTTCATCGAATTATATATTTCGGTTTCGTGTATTTCAAAGAATCAAAGTTCGACAGAAAAATCCAGTCCACGTTTCTTACAGTGCAAATTATAATTACCATTTATTCTTCGAGTGAGTCTCATAGTTTCTAGCATATTTAGTTAGGCTTCGCACAACGATTTCGAATTCTCAAAAATCACTCGAAAGAAAGTACTCAGAATCTTCTTTTTATTGGATATATTCCGTTTTCGCGTATTTCAAAGAATCTTCGAGGGATTGAAAGTACTTCCGTCCAAACAAAGAACTCCGAGAACCTCGTGAAACCAATCAACGCGAGACGTATCGGATAAAAGCGAGTTCTAATCGGTCTTCTAATCCAAAACTAATTTACGCAGTTCATCCTCCGCTCGACCCCAAGAAACCGATGCTCCCCCGACGAATCATCCCTCTACGAACCCTCCGATTACGCGGAAAAGAAACGAGCAGCCCGCTCGGAAGAGAAACGATCGCCCTTTCTTCTCCCCCCCGTCCGCCGCCCTTACCCCATCGAGCGGATTCTTGCCCCCGCATTCTGCTCGGGACCCTCCGAAAATTCCTCTCGGCGCTCGGATTCCCTCGCACGGTCCCAATCGAACGCGGCGGCCGAGCGATATATCAAGGTAAACGGTTCCCCCCGCGATCTTCCGTCGACAGTCGACGCTGGAAACCATGCAACGAATGGCATCCCCTTTTCTCACCCTTATGGCGGATGACAGTTGCACGTAGAATTCTGTCGGGTGTTGTGCCGCGCGATGTCGACGGTGTATTAGTGTTATCTTGGGAAAAGCAGTGAAACGATGCAATGGTAATTCAGAGGAGGGACCGGAATGCTCGTTCGATTAGTCTGATTGGGTTGAGGAACACGCGTGCTCGGGATTTGGGGGTTGCAATGTAGAAGGGTAATTTCGCAGTGTAGTGTCGAATTCTGAATTGGATACTTCAATCATTTTTGATTTCCAGTGAAGAGTGAGGGAATATTGTTAACACAAATGAGTTCTTTGATGAGTAGCTTCGAAACTGGGGTACTGCAAACTGCTACTAAATAATGCTTAACACTAAAAATACGATTAATATGCAGTTCCTATAAAAATTGTAACGATAGATTATTTTCAGTTTCCTCAGACATTCATTATAGTACTAATGAAACTATTTACTTTCAAAATCATTTCGAATATGCTTCGAAGATATCAATAATTGCTAAACGAAACAACGCTATTTTATATAAATATTCCACATATTGATGCATTATACAAAACTTAATATCATGTATAACAGTTTGTAATTTTATTACATCAAATCAAGTGGCGAGAGTCACCTCTCGAGTGCAAAGGGTTAAAGGATCCCGTACGCGAACGGACGACAAGTGTACCCATGGTTTTCCCCTGACCATCGGTTTATCGCGTTGCAAGCAATGAAAGCGATATTATCGGTTTCTCCGGCGTGCATATTTTATTTCGAAACGCCGCGCTTCATTGTAAAGCCACGATTCATGCGAGCCAACCGGACCATAAACCCAGCCGGAACAAACGCGTCCGACTCGGACCGGAAAGCCTCGGGATGCTCGGTCCAGCCAGCCCATAAGAAAGGAGCAACGGTCTTCGTAGCTTCCGGCCCGACGAATAATTAATCGAGCACTCAGCCCCGCAGTTTCGTCGGCCATTTGAAATTCTGATTCGCGGCACGAGGAGCCGAGGGGAGGGGAACGCTGGGAACGCTCGCACGTTCCCCTATCGATTCTTCAACCCTCCTTCCGTTTACCGAGAAGTGTCGTTGTCGTTGATTCATTTTCCGCGCAATGTTTCTACCGTGGAGATGGAAATTAGAAAAGGAAACTGAATTCTTCGACGTGGAAGGCTACAGCACCAGTTGACCGGCTGAGACATTCTCTGCGTAACAATGGCGAACGCTTGCTCCTTTATGAGACTCCATGCGTGAAAATGCTG